TTTTTTTTTTTCGTTTTAATTAATTGTTCATGTTTATTTATTTGTTTTCATTTTAGAAATGGGTGAACAAATTGATCAATTACAAAAATTAAAAAATAAATTAGAAAAAGAAAAACAAAATATTAAATCTGAACTTGATGATTTACGTGCACAACTTGATCATGCACAAAAAGGTAAAGCAGCTGCTGAAAAACTTTCGAAACAACTTGAACAACAATTAAGTGAAATACAAATAAAACTTGATGATAGCTTCAAACAAATTAATGATTTAACTGGTCAACGAACAAAAATACTTGCAGAAAATTCAGAATTAGTTAAACAAATTGAAGATCTTGAACATCAAGTTACTTCATTACAAAAAATCAAAATTACATTACAACAACAAGCTGATGAAGCTAAACGTGCTTTAGAAGAAGAATTACGTGGTAAAAGTGCCATCAGTAAGTATTTTGTTTTTTTTTTTAATTCGTTTTCATTATTTATTATATTAATTTCATTTTAGCTGCTCAATTACGTAATTTATCTGCTGATCTTGATCAAGCACGTGAACAACTTGAAGAAGAACAAGAAGGAAAAGTTGAGCTTCAACGACAAGTTACTAAACTCAGCTCAGAAGTTCAACAATGGAGATCACGTTATGAATCTGAAGGTATGTTTTATTGTTTTTGTGAAGAAGTCTGTCGTATTATTTGAAGAGAGAAAGAAAAAGAAATCATTCATGTGTATTAGAATAGTAATGAACAGATTGTCATTTTTAATGTACAATTTGAATTTTTCTTCTTTCGAACGATTCGAGCGTTTTCATAAATGAATTTTGACAAATACAATGATCGATTTAAAAATTTAATTATAAAAACATTTCTTCACGATTATGTTTTTTCATTATAACACTTAATAATTTAAAAATAAAAAAAATATAATATATATTGTTTCATTCTTTAAGGTTTGGCTCGTGCTGAAGAACTTGAAGAAGCTAAACGTAAATTAGCAGCTAAATTAACCGAAGCTGAAGAACAAGTTGAAGCAGCTTTATCTAAATGCAATGCTTTAGAAAAAGTTAAAGCTCGTTTACAAGGTGAAGTAGAAGATCTTATGGTTGATGTTGAACGTGCTAATGCTAGTAAGTTAATTTAAATATTTGAAAAGACAAAAATTTAAAATTTTCTTTCTATTAAGATGCTTCTGCTATGGACAAGAAACAGAGACAATTTGATAAATTAATTAATGAATGGAAACAAAAATGTGAAGATATCACAGTTGAACTTGAAGCATCACAAAAAGAAGCACGTCTCTATTCAACAGAATTATTTAAACTTAAAACACAATATGAAGAATCACAAGAACAAATTGAAGCACTTCGTAAAGAAAATAAGAACTTGGCCGATGAAATTAAAGTAAAAAGCAAACCTAAGAATCATTTTATAATGACTTAATATAAATGAATATTGTTGTTTTATTTTTAAGGATCTTATCGATCAATTGGGTGAAGGTGGAAAGAGTCTTCATGAATTAGATAAAGCTCGTAAACGTGCTGAAATGGAAAAAGAAGAATTACAAGGTGCATTAGAAGAAGCTGAAGCTGCACTTGAACAAGAAGAAGCTAAAGTTCTTCGTGTTCAAATGGAATTAAGTACAGTACGTCAAGAAATCGAGCGTCGTATACATGAAAAAGAAGAAGAATTTGAAACTACACGTCGTAATCATGCTCGTGCTATGGAATCAATGCAAGCTAGTTTGGAAGCTGAATCACGAGCTAAAGGTGAAGCAATTAAACAGGTACAAAATAAAAGAAATACATGATATTATTTTTGTTAATCAAATGTATGTTTTCGATTTTTTTTTTCTTTTTTCTAGAAAAAGAAACTTGAATCGGACATTAATGAACTTGAAATTGCTCTTGATCATGCTAATCGTAGCAATGCAGATTTACAAAAAGCACTTAAGAATTTACAACAAACAGTTACTGAATTACAACAACAAGTTGAAGAAGAACAACGACAACGTGATGAAGCTCGTGAAGCTGCTGCCGCTGCTGAACGTCGTGTTAATCTTATACTTGGTGAACTCGAAGAATTACGTACAGCATTAGAACAAGCTGAACGTGCACGTCGTGCAGCTGAAAATGAATTGAATGATGCAGCTGATCGTATTAGTGAATTAAGCACACACAATGCTAATTTATCATCACAAAAACGACAATTGGAAGCAAGTGTTGCTGCTATGCAGGCTGATTTGGATGAAGCTGTTGCTGAACTTAAGAATAGTGAAGAACGTGCCAAGAAAGCTGGTTAGTTTTGTTTCTTTTTCATAAATCGAAACAAATTCAATTTTGAAAACAAAAAAGAAAATATTTCTCGTATTTAGCTGCTGATGCTGCTCGTCTTGCTGAAGAATTGCGACAAGAACAAGAACATGCCATGCAAGTTGAACGACTTCGTAAAGGTCTTGAACAACAAATTAAAGATCTTCAAGAACGTCTTGACGAAGCTGAAGCTAATGCACTTAAAGGTGGAAAACGTATCATTGCTAAACTTGAACAACGTGTATGTAGACAAAAGAAGAAATAATAAAAACAACGAGATGAACAAAATTCTTTTTGATAATTTAGATTCATGAATTGGAAAGTGAAATCGAATTAGAACAACATCGTCATCAAGAAACATTGAAAGAATTACGTAAGAATGATCGACGATTGAAAGAATTAGCATTTCAAGCTGAAGAAGATCGTAAAAATCAATTACGTTTACAAGATCTTACAGAAAAATTACAAAGCAAAATCAAAGTTTATAAACGACAAGTCGAAGAAGCTGGTTTGTATACATAGATTTTTTGAAATTCTTAATTAATCATTAATTTATTTTCTTTAGAGGAAATTGCGGCACTCAATTTGGCCAAATATCGTAAAGTTCAAACAGAACTCGGTATGAAATTTTTAAAATTAAATAATATTTTGTTGTTATTTAAATTTTATTATAACTATTATAGAGGATTCAGCTGAACGTGCTGATATTGCTGAAAATCAATTAGGTAAATTACGTGCTATAAGTCGTTCATCTATTAGTGTAAGCCGAACTTCACCAGGCGTAAGTTAAATTTTTATGTCTATTCTCATATAAAAAATAGTTTTTATTATAGCGTGAAATTCGTGAAACAACTCTTATGCGAGCGTCATCAATTACTCGTGGTGGTTCAGTTCGTCCCCGTTAAATGTTTCAAATTATATCAAGCGATTATGCCTGTATGGGTGATTGGGCTTTCTTTTTGTTGTCTCTAGTCTTTATTTTTTAATCTAAACTTTAGCTGTTCGTTTGTTTATCTTAATCAGTATTTTTGTAATTAATGCTTAATGTGTAGATGGTCAATTATATGTCATCTTGTCTTTTTTATATGTAACAAAATATTTTAGAAAAAAAAGAAAAATAAAGAATGAAGATTAATTACAGAATGACAACTATCCCATGTCGAGACGAACGGTCACAGAACGCAGCGACTTGTACAATTTGTGTTGTTTCATGGATGTTATCAATAGCGCCTCTATAAACGTTACCAATAATAGCATAACCTTTAAGACATTGATTAATATTTTCAATAGCTGCTATTGCACTATTAATATCGCGATTAAAATCTTTATCTTCATCTGTTAATTCACGTCGATAAGGTCTTTTTCTTGGAGTAACTACATTTTCTTCATCGATGTATCCTTTGTCTGCAATAATTTGTACAGAGTCGTTTACATGTTCTAATAGACCCGAATCTCTTACAATTGTAATGTCCTGTACACTCCCATGATAACATTTCGATACATGAACAATTCGATGATGAAAATTGCAAGCTATTTGTACTTTTAATGCATAATTTGTTGAATTTTTCGCATGATAATATGTTTTACGTTCTTCTGAATCATAAAGCTCAGGTATTGCAATAAAAGTCGAATCAACGATTAATTTATGTTGTTGTTCTGGTCCATGTGATGTTATTCTGCTCGCTAGATCATCAAGTAGTGAAATTAATGCCGGATATACATAGGAATGTAAGATATTCAGAGTCGATGATAAGAAATAATTCACTACTTTTTGTATCAAATTCACTTTTGTAGCAATATAGCGTTCAGAATGGTAATGTCTTAAGTACCATAATGTAATTACTAGCAAATTTATAGGAGATAAATATGATGTCATAGTACTGTCTGAATGTTGTTCGTTCCAATGGGA